TCCTCCTCCTCCTCCTCCTCCTCCTCCTCCTCCTCTTCCTCTTCCTCCTCTTCATCCTCCTCCTCCTCCTCCTCCTCCTCCTCCTCCTCCTCATCCGTTCTTTTTCCTCCTGGAAAACTCCTCCCTGTCGCACCCCGAGGCCAGTCGGAAGGGCGGGCAGGGCGTTTCGCCTCAGCCTTCCTCACGCCTTATGATCCTGATGCTTACAGGCTGACAGCAGCTTCACAGATGGAAGGCGGGTCGCTTTCAAAATGTGGCCCTTGCCTCAGCGCCGCGCACATCCGTTTAAAACATGCCAGAGTTTCGCGGATTGGGGACAGGTCGTGTTCAAAATATGGCTCTCGCCTTGGCGCCGTGCACATTCGTCGCCCAAAATTGCAAGAGCTTCACGGATGGAGGGCGGGTCGCTTTCAGAATGTGGCTCTCGCCTCAGCGCCACGTGCACTCGCCATAAATAACATTGCAACAGTTTTCCACATTGAGGGCGGGTCGTTGTCAAAATGTGGTTATCGCCTTCGCGCCGCGCACATCCATTTCAACAAACGACAACAGTTTAAAGGATGGAGGGTGGATTATTTGCAAAATGTGGCTCTCCCCCTGGCGCCGCGCACTTCCGTTATGACAGTTTAAAGTGAAATAGAAGATTCCCATGGTTAGCGGTCCAGAAAAGGTGTGTTGGTAAGATGTAGGACTGTCAGAGCGCAACAACTACGTTGATTCGTGGCGCTGAAGTCCTAGAATTGGTGTCCTGGCACAGTTCAGGATCACCAAAACGCAGCAATAATGGTGGTTCGCGGTGTTGAAGTCCCAGTACTGGTATTCTGGCGCGGTTCCGAATGTTCAAACGATTGTTTTCGAACGGGGCAACTCTTCCAGTGAAAATGAACCCTTGTGGCGGCCTATGAAGAGGGAGCTTGGAGGGAGGGTGTATTGCAACATCTCTGGTGAGTCTTGGGTTTGCATTGGTCATCCTCCTCCTCCTCCTCCTCCTCCTCCGACTCCTCCTCCTCCTCCTCCTCGTCCTCGTCCTCCTTCGTCTCCTCCTTATCCTCCGTCTATTCCTCCTCCTATTCCTCCTCCTCCTTCTCCTCCTCCTCCTCCCTCCACCCCCTCCTCCTCCTCTTCCTCCTCTTCCTCCTCCTCCTCCTCCTCCTCCTCCTCCTCCTCCTCCTCCTCCTCATCATCATCATCCGTTCTTTTTCCTCCTGGAAAACTCCTCCCTGTCGCACCCCGAGGCAAATCAGAAGGGTGGACCGGGCGGGTCGCCTGAGAGCGCATTCATATTTATGGGCCTGAAATTGAATTATCCCGGCAAAGCAACCTAACAGCGATGTGTAGGAACATATATGGAAGCATTCCCCGTAATATTCAGATGAGAATCCAGTTGTAGAATTCTGCTGTTCTCTCAGTCGCAGTCGCATTCGCGATGACAGTCGCAGTGGCAGCGGCAGTCGCAGTCACAGCCTCAGCCCCAGCCTGCCTCAGCCTCAGCCTGCCTCAGCCTCAGCCTCAGCCTGCCTCAGCCTCAGCCTAAGCCTCAGCCTGCTTCAGCCTCAGCCTCAGCCTGCCTTCAGCCTCGGCCTCAGCCTCAGCCTGCCTCAGCCTCACCCTGACTCAGCCTCAGCCTCAGCCTCAGCCTCAGCCTGCCTCAGCCTCAGCATGCCTCAGCCTCAGCCTCAGCCTGCCTCAGCCTCACCCTGCATCAGCCTCAGCCTCAGCCTCAGCCTGCCTCAGCCTCAGCCTGCATCAGCCTCAGCCTCAGCCTCAGCCTGCCTCAGCATCAGCCTGCCTCAGCCTCAGCCTCAGCCTGCCTCAGCCTCAGCCTCAGCCTGCTTCAGCCTCAGCCTCAGTCTGCCTTCAGCCTCGGCCTCAGCCTCAGCCTGCCTCAGCCTCAGCCTGCATCAGCCTCAGCCTCAGCCTCAGCCTGCCTCAGCATCAGCCTGCCTCAGCCTCAGCCTCAGCCTGCCTCAGCCTCAGCCTCAGCCTGCTTCAGCCTCAGCCTCAGCCTGCCTTCAGCCTCGGCCTCCGCCTCAGCCTGCCTCAGCCTCAGCCTGCTCAGCCTCAGCCTCAGCCTCAGCCTCAGCCTCAGCCTGCCTCATCATCAGCCTGCCTCAGCCTCAGCCTCAGCCTGCCTCAGCCTCAGCCTCAGCCTGCTTCAGCCTCAGCCTCAGTCTGCCTTCAGCCTCGGCCTCAGCCTCAGCCTGCCTCAGCCTCAGCTCAGCCTGCATCAGCCTCAGCCTCAGCCTCAGCCTGCCTCAGCATCAGCCTGCCTCAGCCTCAGCCTCAGCCTCAGCCTCTTCAGCCTCAGCCTCAGTCTGCCTTCAGCCTCGGCCTCGGCCTCAGCCTCAGCCTCAGCCTGCCTCAGCCTCAGCATGCCTCAGCCTCAGCCTGCCTCAGCATTCAAAATGTGGCCCGGGAATGGAGTTGTGGGAACTCGAAGAACACGAAGTGGCCTGCAGTTGGCCCTGGGCATTCAAAATCATGCCCAGGAATGAAGTTCTGGGAACTCGAAGACCACGAAGTGGCTTACGGTTCGCTCCGGGTATTCAAAATCATGCCCAGGAATGAAGTTCTGGGAACTCGAGACCACATAGTGGCCTACAGTTGGCTCCGGGCATTCAAAATCATGCCCAGGAATGGAGTTCTGGGAACTCGAAGAGCACGAAGTGGCCTACAGTTGGCTCCGGGCATTCAAAATGTGGCCCGGGAATGGAGTTCTGGGAATTCGAAGACCACGAAGTGGCCTACAGTTGGCTCCAAGCATTCAAAATGTGGCCCGGGAATGGAGTTCTGGGAATCGAAGAACACGAAGTGGCCTACAGTTGGCTCCGGGCATCCAAAATGTGGCCCGGGAATGGAGTTCTGGGAATTCGAAGACCACGAAGTGGCCTACAGTTGGCTCCGGGCATCCAAAATGTGGCCCGGGAATGGAGTTCTGGGAACTCGAAGACCACGAAGTGGCTTACAGTTGGCTCCGGGCATCCAAAATGTACGCCAGGAGTGGAGTTCTAGCAGTGCCAAGAGCGATTTTGCGAGGATGTCCAAAGCGATTTGGGCTTCGACGGCAGCCGCCCCGGGTCCCGCCCCGACCCCCCTGAGGAGTCACGATGCTATCTTTTGACACCACTAGAAACCTATCAGTCTTCGCTGTTAGGTAAAGACTGCCAGCAGCTTCATAGATGGAGGCGGGCCGCTTCTCAAGTGTGGCTCTCGCCTTAGCGCAGCGCACATTCGTTTTAAACGACTGCAAGAGTTTCGCGGAGGGCTGGTGGTTTTCACAACGTGGCTCTCGCCTCAGCGCCACGTGCACATTCGTCTTACAACCTTCGGATTGAGGGCGGGCCGTTTTCAAAATGTGACTTTCGCCTTAGCGCCGCGCGCACTCGCCGCAAAGTGTTGCAAGTGTTTCACGGATGGAGGGCGGATTGCTTTCAAAATGTGGCTCTCGCCTTAGCGCCGCGAACATTCGTTACAAACATGTACAAGAACTTCGCGGATTGAGGGCGTTCCCTTTTCAAGATGTGGCTCTCCCCTTAGCGCCGCGCACTTACATTTGCAAGTGATTCTCATGGTCCCCGAACCAGCACTGATGTTTTGGAACGACTCAGGATTGTCAAGGCGGAACAGTTACGTTGATTGGCGGTGCTGAAATCCCAGGAAGGGTGTTCTGACACAATTCAGGATCGCCAAGACGTAGCAGTCTAGTCCACTCGTGGCGTCGAAGTCCTGAAAATGATGTTCTGGCACGCTTTAAGATTTTCACGCGCTTGTCTCCCGACAAGGCACTTCCCTCAGTGGGAATGAACCCTTGTATGGGCCTGTGAAGAGGGAGCTTAGAGGGAGGGTGAATTCCAACATCGTTGATGAGTCTTGGATTTGCACTGGCCTTCCTCCTCCTCCTCCTCCTCCTCCTCCTCATCATCATCATCATCATCATCATCATCATCATCATCATCATCATCATCATCATCATCATCATCATCATTATCATTATCATTACCATTATCAATATCATTATCATCATCAGCAGCATCAGCATCAGCATCAGCATCAGCATCAACATCAACATCAGCATCAGCATCAGCATCAGCATCATCATCATCACCACCACCACCACCATCATCACCACCACCACCATCATCATCATCACCACCACCACCATCACCATCACCATCACCATCACCATCACCATCACCATCACCATCACCACCACCATCATCATCACATCATCTTGATCATCTTGATCTTGATCTTGAACATCATCATCATCATCATCATCATCATCATCATCATCATCATCATCATCATCATCATCATCATCATCATCATCATCATCATCATCATTATCCCTCCTCCTCCTCCTCCTCCTCCTCCTCCTCCTTTTCCTCCCTCCTCCTTCCTCCTGTCATCCCCAGGCTGTTCCTCGTCCTCCTCCTCCTCCTGCTGCTGCGCACGTCCCTGGCCGGCATCCCTGATCTGCTGCGCCGCTCGCCGCACGCACCGCGCTCGGGCGCGCCGCCAGGCGCGGGGGGGTGTTGGGGGCGTCGGGCCCACGCCAGAGGGGGGGAGGGAGGAAACCACGTAGGGGTAGAGGCCAAGGGCGAGGAAGGAGAGACGTGGAGGGATGAGGAAGCAGTCATGGATGATGCAGGAGTAATGTGGGGGGGATTTGGGGGGTGCGGGCAGGAGGAGGAGGAGGAGGAGGAGGAGGAGGACGAGGAGGAGGAGGAGGAGGAGGAGGAGGTGGAGGAGGAGGAGGAGGAGGAGGGGGCTATACGGCGCTACGAGACCCCGTCGTCAAAGTCTGCCCAACGTAAAAAGGAGGAGGAGGAGGAGGGATCAGGAGGAGGAGGAGGGAGGAGGGAAGAGGAAGATGAGGAGGAGGTGGAGGCGGAAACGTAGACTGCTCCCCACGGATTTTTCCTGGCCGGCCGCCTCTCACACAGGCAACGGCCGACCGCCGCCCTGCGCGGGCGGCGTCACCCGCCCTCGGCGGCGGCGCCGCAGGGCACTGCGTGCAGCACCTCGCGGTGGGCGTCTTTCGGACCACAGTCGAGGATCCTCAGAACGTGCGCTGGCCCCAACGTGTGCCTGTCCATCGAGGCCCTTCGATACGACGCAGGCGGGGGATCTTCAACTCCGAGAGGGGGGAGATGGTAGAACCTATTCTTTTCTTAGAAAAGAGAATCTACGTGGTCCAATCTACGTGGTGCAATCTACGCGACGGCGACGGCGGCGACGGGCGGCACCGCCCGCAAACGCCGTCACTCGCCCCGAGCGGCGGCGACCGCGGTGGCGACCGCGACGGCGACGGCGGCGACGGGCGGCACCGCCCGCAGAAGCCGCCACTCACCCCGAGATGGTTAAGCCAAGTGAGAGCCCCCAAGTGCAAGCACTGCTTGGGGAACAGAGGCGACCCCAGGATCTGGTGGCCCTTTGAGCCTCACCCCGAGCTCCAGCCCAACTTCGCGCACCGCGGGGCGCGGTGTGCGACGCGCGGCCGTCTTCGGGCCGGCGCGCCCTCGCGACGCCTCCCCTGGAGAGGGGCAGCCGCTCTGGCCCGGACCGCGACGCGCGAGGCGCGAATGTCCTCGCGCCCCCACGGGTGACCGACCCAGAGTCTTACCTTTCCCCGGCCTGAAGCCTCATCCTCGGCTACACGCAGGAGTGACCCCGGGCAAGAGTGACCTTTGGTGCGCGGCTTTTTGGGGGGCCACGGGGGGGCCAAACACATGCGCGCATGCCGCCCCTGCCGCCTCGCCGTTGGTGCGCGGCTTGACGGGGGACGCGGGGTGGCCAAACCCAAGCGCGCAAGAGGCCACTGCCGCCTCGCGCTCGGCGCTAGGGGGACCCCCGTGGACCCGCACCAAAGGTCACTCTGGCGAAGGGTCGCTCCTGCTAGGGGTGCCCTCCCCAGGATGCACAAGAAAACCCAACAAGCACGAAGAACATTAGGGCACCCTCCTCGAACCAACCTCGATCGTGTATCTCGGGCCGACCGTACCTTTCCCCGGCCTAGAGTTAGGTCGGGCCTGTCCCCGTACAGGCAGATTTTGGGCGAAAAATGGAACATAATGAAAAATACCCCAAAGTTGCGAAAAATAGTCCAAAAAGTATCCCCAGACCAATGTTTGCAACTGTTATGGAATACTCCTCCCGTGGAGGGACAGGCCCAACTGAAGCCCAGAGCCTCGGCCCCCCTCCCCGGGCAGCGCCTCGCGGTGCGCGAGGCCGGCCTCCGCCAGCGTGCGGCCGTCGGTCGGCTGCAGCTCGCGGCGGGGGAAGCTCGGAGGCCCGGAAGCGGGCACCCGCACCGGCCCCCCGGGGGCTCGCCCCTTGGCGGCGCGCACAAGGGGGTGGGGGGAGGGGGGAGGGCTTCTTAGAAGGAGGCTGCTTCTTAGGAGGCGGCGGCCGCGTATCTACAGATCAGGCCCGCGCCTCCTAAGAACCAGGGGTGGTTCTAAGAAGCCCTCCCCCCCCCACCCCCCTCTGCACGTGGCTGAGCCTCCGCCGGGGGCGTTCGCCAAAGATTTGTTTCTGGTCCAGAGAATATCCTCGTCGCATGAACCAAAAATAAGATCTCTGGTCCCGGCAAACAGAAATCTTTGGCCCCGATACGCAACACGCGACTCGTAGCGTGTTGACACGGAGCTCAGCACGTAGACTGAGAACGTCGGTCCGACGCCATGCGTTCGCCCAAACGTGGGCCAATACGCTGAGCCAACACGCAACGTATTGACACGGACGTTTGAGCACGGTACGTGTCGCGTTGCAAAGCGGGCGTATCGAGGCAGCTAATGTACCAAGGCCTCCACTGGGGGGAGGTGATCATGGATGTTGGTGTTTGTGGTCATCTTTCGGCCACATAGGAAACCCGAAAATCACCACCAGCACCGAGATGAGGACCATCTTCCCTCTGTGGAGACACACCGTGGAGGCGGACATGGGGGTCTGACCTGGATTAGCCCGAACAACTCGGCCAAGAAAGAAAAGAAACTATAAATCCGCTACACATCGGTCCCCTCCCCTCCTCGGACCCCTCTCGGGGTCCATTTGACGCAGTTTTCCACCCCGGATCCGCTTCTGACAGTCCCGGGACCCGGAATAGACCTCAGCAAGAACCCTCCTCGAACCCAGCCCCCCCTTTCCTGCCCAACAGGACCAATGCTGGGCCACCTCTCGGCGGCGAGCGAGAGGCGGCGAGCGAGAGGGGGAAGTGAAAAGGATAAGGCCCTCTCAGAAGGCGGCGGGGCTTCTCAGAAGCCATCGCGCCTTCTGAGAAGTGTTTTATGTCTTCGGGGAAGGCTCAGAAGACTTCCCAGAAGGCTGGGGGACTTCCGAGCCTCCTGAGGAGGAGGAGGAGAAGGAGGAGGAGGAGGAGGAGGAGGAGGAGGAGGAGGAGGAGGAGGAGGAGAGGGAGGAGGAAGGATGAGGCAGAGGAGGAGAAGGATGGAGAGAGGAGGAGGAGGAGGAGGAGGAGGAGGAGGAAGAGGAGGGGGAGGAGGAGGAGAAGGAGGAGGAGGAGGAGGAGGAGGCCCGCCCCTTCTCGCTTCCCCCCCTCGCTCGCCGACGAACTGGGTCCCCAGACCCCTGGCGGGGTCCACACGCACCCGTTCTCCGAGCTGCGCCTGGCCGTGGCGACGAGGAGTGCCCCAGAAAGCCTGGAACCTCGATCCTCGGGGCTCGAGGCTCGAGCCTCCACTTCCCCAGAAAGCCTGGAATCTCGATCCTCGAGGCTCGAGGCTCGAGCCTCCACATCCCCAGACAGCCTGCAACCTCGACCCTCGAGGCTCGGGGCTCGAACCTCCCCTTCCCCAGAAAGCCTGCAGCATCGATCCTCGAGGCTCAAGGCTCGAGCCTCCGCCTTCCCCCCTCGCTCGCCGCCGACTCTCGGGACCCCGAGCCCGCTCCGAGACACACCGCCGAGTTTTGCGACGTGGCGCCAACCTCCAGGCCTCGGGGAAGCTGCAGACCAGGCGCGGCGGCCCGGCCGCGTGCGGCAGCTCCGCCTCCGACGCCGAGGCGAAGGCAAAGTCGGCCACGGCCGCGACACGGTCCGTGGCGCGCCACCTGCTGGGCACGAAGCAGGCCCAGAACGAGCCTGGAGGCTCGAACCTCGAGCCTCGAGGATCGAGGCGCCAGGCTTTCTGGCCTTCGGGGGCCCTCATCGTCGCCACGGCCAGACGCAGCTTAACAAAAACCAGTGCGTTTGGACCCCGCCAGGGGTCTGGGGACCCATATCGGCGGCGAGCGAGGGGGAGAAATGAGAAGGGGCGGGCCTTCTCAGAAGGCTCGGAAGCCCCTTCTGAGAAGTCTTCTGAGCCTTCCCCGAAGACACAACAACATCTCAGAAGGCCCGAGGGATTCTGAGAAGCCCCGCCGCCTTCCGGGAGGGCCTTCTCCTTCTCATGCACTGTCCCCGATCGCTGGCCGCCGACCAAACAAATCAAGTGGCTGGGCGCGGTCGGTGGCAACCCATGGGGGCCTCCCATACCATCTTGTCGGCTCTTGTGAATCGATGCTAAATCGACGCTAAATCGACGCTCATCGACGCTTGCCGACGCTACATCGACGCTAATCGACGCTAGTCGACGCTACATCGACGCTAATCGACGCTAGTCGACGCTACATCGGCGCTTATCTACGCGAACCGACGCTAAATCGGCGCTATCTCATCGACTCCCAGTTGCTAATCGACGCTACATCGACGCTACATCGGCGCTAATCTGCGCTAGCCGACGCACCACATCGGCGCGATCTCGTCGACTCCCAGAGGCTAATCGGCGCGAGCCGACGCCAAAGACAAGACCAAAAGGGAAGACCAGGCTCCCAGGACTTGCTGCCGAAGGAGCGGGACCTCGGAGAGACGGCTCCTCGGGAGCCGTCTCCCACGGGGGCCTGGCCAGGACCCTGGAAGGCGCGAGGGTTTCTCGCATGGCGCGGGGGCTGCTCAGAAGCCCCGCCGCCTTCTCGCTCGCCGCTTTCCAGGAGGAGGAGGAGAAGGAGGGCGGAGAGGAGGGAGGAGGAGGAGGAGGAGGAGGAGGAGGAGGAGGAGGAGGAGGAGGAGGAGGAGGAGGGGAGGAGGAGGGGGAGGAGGAGGAGGAGGGGGAGGGGAGGAGGAGGGGGAGGGGGAGGAGGAAGAGGGGAGGAGGAGGAGGAGAGAAGGAGGGAGGAGGAGGAGGAAGAGGAGGAGGAGGAGGAGGAAGAGGAGGAGGAGGAGGAGGAGGAGGGCGCCAAAGGCGCTGCCCGGGGGGGGCCAGCGCGGATCCAAGAAAGCCGCGCGGAGCGCCAAAATTTATGCTTATGGCGTTGCTTCCTTCCTCGGACTAGGGCAAGTTCGTGCGGCGTTGGCACCGCGGCGATCATTCAATCTTTGAATCGATCGCGGCCCCGATCGTCCAAGGCTGAATTCAGTCGGGTCCAGTGGCGTTACCGTGCCCGTCGGTGTTTCCGCGTCGCAGCATTCAACCTTGAACGCCGTCGTCGGCGTCGCCAGCGCGCCAACGCCGCACGAACCTACCATAGGACCCGTTTCCCTCAGGACCGATACCGCGAAGTACTCCCTGGACACCTCCTGGGGCGCGCTCTGACTGGAATTTCGAGGAGAATCAAGCCGTGGCGACGAGGGCGTTCCAGGGCTTTCCAGGACGAGCGGCTGTATCAGTACCCATCGGTCAGAAGAAGTAGGTCGAAACACGAAGTAGGAAGGCGTTGAAAGTAGACTGAGTTCCGTCCGCCCCCTAAGGAGGACGGGAAAGGTGAAGCCACTCGATCATTGGAGTAGGAAGGCGCTTAAAGTAGATTCGAATCTACTTTCAACGACCGATGGGTACCTGTTCCCCCCGACGAAAAACCTCAAGACCCGTTCCCGGACATCCTCTGATGTGATGTTTTCCATCCTCGGCCCCAAAAGCGCCCGGCCGGAAGAGAAGCCTCGTGCCTGTCTCCCCTGGGACCCGCCTGCATCAGGGCGAGCATGGGAGGACAAAAACCCTGACATCCTCCAACGTGATCTTTTAGAAGACTTCTCGGAAGGCCCGAGGGCTCTCGAGGAGCCCCGCGTCCTTCGGAGAAGGCCTGCCCCCTCTCGCTTCGCCCTGCAGCGCTCTGCCGACTCTGGTTTTCGGGTCGCACCTCGGGCCTCCGCGGCCGCTCGGGGCGATCCGGGCACCCCTGGAGCGCTCTGGGCGAGGCGCAGCTGCTGAGCGTGCCTCTGTGCAGTTCCCCTGACATCCTCCGATGTGTTTTTGTTGCCATCCGCGGCCCTATAGGGAGATCCCGACCCCTTCCCCCGGGGGTGGTTTCGCGCCCCGGATCCGCTTTTGGATGGTCTCGGGGCTCGGTAACGGCTCCCGGAGGCCGAAATCGAGAAAGTTCGCTGGGATCGAAAAGACCATATTGTCGGAGATCTGGGAAGGCAACCATACCACTACTCGTAGGTCGGGCATGTCCACCTGAGGATTTTGGACGACAAATAGAGAATACTCAAAATATACTCCCAAATCATGAAGAATTGTCAACACATCGTCCCCGGACCAATTTTTGACTTTTTTTGACTTTTCCTCCCGCAGAGGGACGTGCCCGACTTCACACTACTCCCCAGACCTCTCTGGAGGTGCGATCTGACCAGAATCTCAAAGAGAACCCAGCGGTGGCGACGAGGGCTCTGCAGGACGAGCCAGGGTGTCGGCACCTCGTCTTGGGGGCGGCGACGAGGGGGTCGTCCAAGAGGGGGGTGGCGCAAATCATGGCCGGCGGCATGTGCGCGGCCCAGGGTGGGGGGGGGGCGGGGACGTAATGAAATAAGAAGAGGCGCCATGAGATCTTGGGAGACATCATGGACCCCGCCATGATATCCCCCCCCTAGTCATCACCCCCCTCTTCGCCGCCCCCGATCTTCCTGCAACGAGAGCCTCAAAACCTCGGGACCCGTGCGCTTCATGGCGTATGACGTCTGGACCACGCCTCGAGCCTCCGGCGGCCGCTCGGGGCGATCCGGGCACCCGGGGAACGCTCTCGGCGAGGCGCAGCTGCCGGGAAGCACCTCAAACGCTCTCAAACCCTCTCAAACCCGACGACGACGACGACGACGGCGACGACGACGACGACGACGCCGACGATGACGATGACGACGACGACGACAACGACGACGGCGGCGACGACGACGACGACGACGATGATGACGACGACGACGACGACGACGGCGACGACGACGACGACGACGACGACGACGACGACGACGACGACGGCGGCGACGGCGGCGGCGGCGGCGACGACGACGACGACGACGACGACGACGACGAGATGCTTCGTGGCAAGCCGCCTGCGCTGGGCCCTCCGGGCGCTGCCGGAGAGCACCACGGTCAGCAGCACCGCGCCGGCCTCCCCCTCCGCCGGCTCCGCGGGCAGCCTCTCCAGGCGGACGGCCCGTTCGACCTCCGCCCAAATCTGCGCCGCCTGCGGGAGAAGAGAGACCCAAACCTCGACGGGAGGAATATTCAAAAATAGTTCCCGCACGGGTCCCGAGGTTTTGAGGCTCTCGTTGTTTCTGGGGCAGGAAGATCGGGGGCGGCGAAGAGGGGGTGATGACTAAGGGGGGGGATATCATGGCGGGGTCCATGATATCTCCCGAGATCTCATGGCGCCGCTTCTTATTTCATTGCGTCCCCCGCCCCCCCCCTCCCCCCTGGGCCGCGCACATGCCGCCGGCCATGATTTGCGCCCCCCCCCTCTTGGACGCCCCCCTCTTGGCCGCCCCCAAGATGAGGTGCCGACACCCTGGCTCGTCCTGCAGAGCCCTCGTCGCCACCGCTGGGTTCTCTTTGAGATTCTGGTCAGATCGCACCTCTAGAGAGGTCTGGGGAGTAGTGTCCAGTCGGGCACGTCCCTCTGCGGGAGGAATGTTCAAAAATAGTCAAAAAATAGTCCGGGGACGATGTGTTGACAATTCTTAAATATTTGGGAGTATATTCTGAGTATTCTTTATTTGTCGTCCAAAATCGTTTTTCAGGAGGACATGCCCGACTTACGAGTAGTGGTATGGTTGCCTTCCCAGATCTCCGACAATATGGTTTTTCGATCCCGGCGAACTTCCTCGATTTCGGCCTCCGGGAGCCGTTACCGAGCCCCGAGACCATCCAAAACAGATCCGGGACGCGAAACCACCCCCGGCACCCCCGGGGGAAGGGGTCGGGATCTCCCTATAGGGCCGCAGATGGCAACAAAAGCACATCGGATGATGTCAGGGGAACTGCACAGATGCACGCTCAGCGGCGCGACTGGGAGGCGAAGGTCAGTTCTTGAAAGTTTCCAAGCCTCGGGGTGCGTTCCAGCAGCTGCGCCTCGCCCAGAGCGCTCCAGGGGTGCCCGGATCGCCCCGAGCGGCCGCGGAGGCCCGAAAAACGACCCGAAAACCAGACCCGGCAGAGCGCTGCAGGGCGAAGTGAGAGGGGGCAGGCCTTCTCCGAAGGACGCGGGGCTCCTCGAGAGCCCTCGGGCCTTCCGAGAAGTCTTCTAAAAGCCTCCCCCGACGGCCGAGGCGGCCTCTCGGAAGGCTGGATGGCTTCTGAGGAGCCCCACCGTGCCCTGAGCAGGCCTGCCCCCGCTCACTGCCGCCCTTCGGCCGGGCCTGCCCCCCTAAAAATTAGAGATAGCCTAGCAAAACCTCAAAATCATCTAACAATATGTTTTAAAAATCCTCCCCAGGCTATTTTTCTACTATTTTGGAACGTTCCTCCTGCAGAGGGACAGGCCCGACTGAACTCCACCCCCCCCCGGTGCGCCGGCGACGCGAGAACGGCGCTCTCGTGCACCGCGCCGCGCCGGGACTCCAGCCAGGCCTCGCTCCAGCGCGGTGCGGTGCACGGTTCTCTTGGGTTCCGAGGGCCGCCGAGCCCTGCCCGGGCCGCAGATCGGCGACGCCCCGGGAGGCGCCAGCCCGGCACGGTGCACAATGGCAGGTCGTCCGCGGATACACATGAAACACATCGGAGCTCGGCGCGGATCTCCTGGATCGGGGCTGGGGCCCGCCTCCTCGGCTCGCACGGCGCGCCAGGCGCGGCGCCAGAGGCGCCGCCGAGGAGGAGACGAACGGGACTGCCACTCGTGCCTCGGAGGGAGATGTTGGTGAGACTCGATTGTCAATGCGATGAGCAGTTTTGTCCTCGGTGCTATAGAGTTTTGTTGAGGAGGGCACGCCCCCAGTGCAGATCCAAGAAATCCGCGCGGAGCTGCGAGAAATCCTGCTCGTGCCGGCTTGTCTTCTCCGAGCCTCCCGCTCCTCCTCGAGCCGCTCGGCCTCCGCCCTGAGCCGCTCCTCCTCCTGCGGGGGGAGGCCCCGAGATCCCTGCGCCGCAGCCTGCTCGCAGCTTCCTCGCTCGGGCCGCTCGGCCTCCGTGCCGAGCCGCCTCCTCCTCCTCCCGAGGAGCGACCTCGCCATGGTTGGGGCCCGAGGCCCTCCCGGATCGATCCGGCCCAACCATGCAGCAGAGAGGTGGGGTCTAAGACTAGAAGCCTTAGACCCCACCTATTCTGCTGCACTGGCGACGCCGGCGATGCATCGGCGACGTCGGCGTGGAGAAGATTGGGCCCCACATCGAGCCGCATCGCTGATGCATCGCCGATGCATCCGCGATGCGCCGCGATGCGCCGCGACCCCTGCACTCCGACCCCATCTAGGAGGCCTAGAAAGGCTCGGGTCGTGATACGCCGCGGTGTGGGGTGTTTTTCCCGTCAAAAAAAAACGGACGGAGGTCAGGGGCCGAAAGGGGGGAAAGGGCTCCCCCTCGCCTCTCTCGGCCCTCGGAGGCCCTCGCAGGACCGCGGGACTCGGCATGCAAAGCCGGCCCCGGGGAAACAGGGCCCAGGGACCCGCATGGAAGAAAACGAGCCGTCGGATCTCTGGGCTCAGGGGCGGTGCAAAGGTCAGGGGGGACGTCCGGGCGGGCTGGCTCAAGGGCGGTGGGGTGGAACACCAGCATTAAGTAGGGCCTGTCCCCCTACAGGGGACTTTTCGACGAAAAATGAAAAATACCCCAAACATTCTTTTTAATATGGGGATAACCTTTTAAATTTGTTTCACCTTTTCGGGGTATTTTGGAATATTTTTTATTTTTCGTCCAAAATCCCCATTTGGGGGGGCACGCCCGACATAACACCAGCATTGAGTCGGCAGCGCATCGCCGATGCATCGGCGACAGGCCCGAGCTGTGAGGCCCCACGCTCCTCCCGCGGGGCGAAGCACCCAGGCCCCTATCGGCGAAGTTTGGGGTCCTGAGCCCATACCCTCCTTCTCCACCCTCCTCCTCCTCCTCCTTCTCCACCCTCCTTCTCCACCCTCCTCCTCCTCATCCTCCTCCTCCTCCTCCTCCTCCTCCTCCTCCTCCTCCCTCCTCCCTCCTCCTCCTCCTCCACCCTCCTCCTCCTTCTCCACCCTCCTCCTCCCCCGTTCCTCCTCCTCCTCCTCCTCCTCCTCCTCTCCTCCTCCTCCTCCTCCTCCTCCCCTCCTCCTACTCTCCGCCTCCTCCTCCTCCTCCTCCTCCTCCTCCTCCCCCGTTCCTCCTCCTCCTCCTCCTCCTCCTCCTCCTCCTCCTCCTCCGCATTCCCCCTGAGGCTATCCCCCCAACCTCGTCCCTGAAATGACCTGCCTCTCGGGCCACAGCTCGGGCCTCCGTCGGCCGGCCGGGGCGATCGTCCCGAAGCTGGACAACCGCCGGGAGCCCGTGAGGTCCGACGCTGCGGAGCAGTTGCAACACCGCCGTAGAGCATCACTGCCGGAGCCCCGGGCCCCATCTTTCTCTGCGCCGCTTGTCGCGCTGGAGCAATCTGCGAGGGCCGCGGGTGCCTGAGACTGGGCGGGTGCGACAAGATTGCGGCGCCAGGATCTCAGGGGCTATCGCTGCCCCTCTCTCGGCGGCGAGCCTGGGGGGGATGCGAGAAGGGCCGGGCCTTCTCACAAGGCTCGGAAGCCCCCCGGCCCTCTGACAAGTCTACTGCGCCCTCCCCGGAGAGACCCCAAAAAAACTGCGCAGAGGGCGCGAGGGCTTCCGAGAAGCGCCGCCGCCTTCTGAGAGGGCCGTCTTCTCCTCACTTCCCCCCCTCGCTCGCCGCCGACCAACAAAAAAACTCATGGCTGGGAGCGTTCGGTGGCAACTCATGGGAGCATCCCATACCATCTTGTCGGCTCTTGCGAACGATGCTAATCGACGCTAAGTCGACGCCAATCGACGCCAATCGATGCTGCAACGACGCCAATCTACGCCAACCGACGCGGAATCGGCGCTATCTCATCGACTCCCAGACGCTGCTCGGCACTAATCGACGCTCATCGATCCCCCCCCCGCGCTCGCCGCCAGCTCTCGCTGCCCCATCGACTCCTCCCGCCTCCGGCGGCACGCCGCCTTCTGAGGGCCTTCCGAGAAGCTGTGCCGCCTTCTGAGAGGCTCCGCCACCTTATGAGGGGGGAGGAGGTGGAGGAGGAGGATGAGGAGGAGGAACGGGGGAGGAGGAGGAGGAGGAGGAACGGGGGAGGAGGAGGGTGGAGAAGGAGGAGGAGGGTGGAGGAGGAGGAGGAGGGAGGAGGGAAGAGGAGGAGGAGGAGGAGGGAGGAGGAGGAGGAGGAGGAGGAGGAGGAGGAGGAGCTCCGCAGCCTTCTGAGAGGGCCTCCTCCTTCTCGCTTCCCCCCCGCGCTCGCCGCAGGCTCCCGTTGACCCTCGGCTCCTCCCGCCTCCGGCGGTCCGCCGCCTCCGACTCGGCCAGCTCCGCCGCCTGCGCGGCACGCAGCGCGGCGCGCTCCTCCCGCTCCAGCAGGTGCTCCGCCGACGCCTCCGGGGGGGAGGAGGAGGAGGAGGAGGAGGAGGAGGAGGAGGAGGAGGAGGAGGAGGAGGAGGAGGAGGAGAGGAGAGGAGGAGGAGGAGGAGAAGAGGGTGGAGAAGGAGGAGGAGGCGGAGGGCGGAGGAGGGATGGAGGAGGAGGAGGAGGAAGGAGGAAGGATGGAGGAGGAGGAGGAGGAGGAGGAGGAGGAGGAGGGGGAGGAATACTCTCGGGATGGCCGGGAACAGTGACCCCTGGTGAGAGATACATTGAGCGCGGCCACGTGCACCTCAATAGATCTCTCACCTGTGATCGTGGCAGGCCGGCCCAAACACGCAGCCGACATCGAGGCGAGAGCACGACCCCTGCACAACGTGCGAAGAGGTCTCCGAGCGAAACGGCTGTCAGACCAAAAGGGGTTCGGGGCGCCGACGGCTGGCTTCACCGACGCGGGCTTCGCCCCGCTGGCTTCGACGACCCGCCCGCCGGCTTCGCCTGGCTGGTTTCGACGGCGGCTGATTTCGCCAGGCTGGTTTCGCTAACCCGCCCGCTGGCTTCGCCCAGCTGGTTTCGCCGACCCGCTCGTTGCCGCTGTTGTCGTTCGTCGTCGTCGCCGTCGTCGTTCGCCGTGTTCGACGTCGCCGTCGCCGTCGTCGTCGTTGTCGTCGTCGTCGTCGTCGTCGACGTCGCGGCCGTCGTCGTCGTCGTCGTCGTCGTCGTCGTCGTCGTCGTCGTCGTCGTCGTCGTCGTCGTCGTCGTCGTCGTCAACGACATCGTCGTCGTCGCCATCGTCGTCGTCGATCGCCGTCGTCCGTCGTCCGTCGTCGTCCTCCGTCGAAGTCGGACGCTGTCGTCGTCGTCGTCAACGTCGTCGAAGTCGTGGGCGTCGACGTCAAAGTCGTCGTCGTCGTCGACCGTGGTCGTTCTGCTTCGTCGTCGTCGTCGTCGTCAACGACATCGTCGTCGTCGCCATCGTCGTCGTCGATCGCCGTCGTCCGTCGTCCGTCGTCGTCCTCCGTCGAAGTCGGACGCTGTCGTCGTCGTCGTCAACGTCGTCGAAGTCGTGGGCGTCGACGTCAAAGTCGTCGTCGTCGTCGACCGTGGTCGTTCTGCTTCGTCGTCGTCGTCGTCGTCAA